CGCAATTGCTGGAATGACCACATTAGCACTAAGCCAATTGAACTGTTCGCTAAAATACTCTGCCCAGCGATCAAGTCGTTGTTCTTCATTGTGGATGCTTGATCCACTTTTATCGCAAATGGTCTCACTGACCGGTATGTGACGGCCTCCGGTGCTACGTATCAGATGAAATAGTCTTTGACTATTTCCTGATGCACAAGCTACCTCCATTTCACTGGCTATTTCGGCCCACCAATTTTCACGATTTTTCTTAAGACTATTTCTTAGTTGACGTTGCAAAGAAGAGTTTCTGAATGAACAAAAGATAAAGAAATATTTAAGGAACTGAAGATGACATCAAACAGCCTGGAGTAGTGCAGTTCGATGCGAATTGTGGTAGGGATTGGAACTGAAGCTTGATTATTTTTGTTATGGTAACCTGGATTTGTACATACAATTCACAGGATTACCAACGTTTTGTTCATTCGCGATGAACTGCGAGGAGCGTTCGGATTATGGAATTACTTAAGCCGTGGCCAAAAACGTCAAAAGTTGCTCAGCATTCTACGAGTGAGTGAAACAAAAGTGATTTTTCTTAAACTTTTCCCATCCCCGTGGTAAGTGAACTGATATAAATCGTTTTAATGACCCTGCTGGCTGTGGACATACACTTTGGATGGCACCGAATACACGAATACAATCTAAGACCTATGGTGAAAGACTGCGAATTATTGGACTTTATTCGTTTGAATACCGTCGAATACGGGGAGACATCCTCGTATATCAGGTGCTACACCAACCTAACCACCAGTGTAATACTGTAGTGCTATTATTCATGAATGGTCACCTCCGAGTAAATCCGTTTAAACTACTACTCCAAAAGAGCCGGCTCGACTTCAGGCGTCATTCTTTCAGCCTCAAAGTTTGTAACACCTAGAACTCTCTTCCACCTCAAGTTGTTTGTGCACCAACCATCGATTCATTCAAGTCACGATTGGATGAAGCATTGAACCACCTAACTATTGAGTACCCGTGAGTGAACGTCAGAATTCGCTATTCAATTGTACTACCAACCGAACCTAGTGTGTACCGACCCTATGGGATTCAACAAGCATTATCTTTGTAATTTACCCATAATACAAATTTGAATGGTGGGGTGCCGCTTATTTATTAGGATTTAGGGTCTATCTAAAGATTTGTTGTCCTAATTTTTATAATTTTCGAAATTGAAAATACAATGCATTTCCAATTATTTTAAATGTATTTTGATTTGGCTTTCGGACTTCCTGCCGTCCACTTCAGCGTCTGCGACGACGTGGGTTGCTAGATTTGTTGCAAATTAGGAAAACGTTCGGGTCTTTGGATCACCTTCTAATCCCGCGACATTTGCTACTCGAGGCTGCGGACAAACCATTAGAGTGAGTGGTGTTTTGTTGCTCCTATGTCATATTTTTCAATTTCCGATATTTCAGATAAACTTCCGTGAACCTCATGTTTGCTGTTTATTACATGTTTCACATTGTTCAGAAACTTGTAATAACCCTTGAAATTTCGGTTTCATTATAAGTGCTAGCAACTCGAGTATATGCTGCAGCAGTTGGGTCAGCGCTGCTACACGGTGCAGAAACTTGGCCATTTCGGGAACAGGATAAAAATAGATTGTCGGTGTTCTAACAGTGCTGCGTAGGGTACGTAGCATTGCACGACTCTGGTGGGGAAACCGGATGAGCAATGCTGGGGTTAGACGTAGAGTTTTTGGTAACTGCGGTCGCCCACTAGAGCAAATAGTTTACCTCCATACATTACGTTGGTTGGGACATGTGGTACGCATGTCACCGAATAGGTTGCCACGGCGAGCGGTAATTGCCGAGGCAGGCAGTGGCGCTCATACATCTACTCAATATTCTTGCAACATCAGTCTATATAAATTCTCTCTCCCGCTTGAATTTGTTCTCAACATTCCAATCGTCATTCTTCTCTTCTATCCAAATGGGCAACAAAAGACAGCAACCGAAACCGGCTCACGAAAGTGCATGATTAATGGTTGTAAAAACTCGACTAAAGTGCTAGCAACTAGTTACTTGCCATCTATTGTATTCGATCCTGCTGGAATCAGATAACCCACCATTTTCAGGCACTAAATACCAAAAATATGGTTTTTGATTAAACCACAAAAAATATACATTGTTATAAAGGCGAAGCTGTTAAAATACGTAACATTCGCACCACCCTGTCCCATCGCTCTTTCTCAATTGCCACGACCAGCATTCTAAATGACCACTCAAAGTGCCTTCATTCTTTCGTGGGCGGTGGTGGCGCAGTGGTAAATGTCATCACTCCCGGAGGACGTGTTCGAATCCCACCATTGCTGCCTTACTTTCCCCTTATGGGTTTTGTGACAGCCCTTTGATTGGATGCTTCCCCCTTCCTGAAAATTGCATCATTTTATATTCAATGGAAGGTAGTAAAAAACTGAAAAATAATTTGTTGCCTTAGTCCTTCTGGGGACTTAGTCGTGGTATCCTCAATGGTAGTAAAATCTCCCTGATGCCCCTTTGTCCTACCCATGATTCTTTCTCTTCCACATCAATTTTCGTTAGACAGGTTCACCCAACCTTTAAGGACTAAGCTTATCTTCGTTTCGTGGCCTGCTTACATTTCCCTACCCGCTGTTCTCGAGGTGGACTTTGTTTTCCGTGCCGGAAGTTTCCGCATTTTCACACGCACACACAACTCACTTTGCAAAGCACGAATTTGCCCCACATTTCAATACTGCAGTCATGTGTAAACTGAAGCGTTGTCCATTTCCCTTCTTCACCTTTTCCCATCAAGCTTTAACCAAAACCCGCAATCCTTTAGCCTAGACCCGTAATCCTCTAGTCATAATCCAAAATGCTTTAGCCAAAACACAATCATTTAGCCTTGGCCCACATTCGTTTAGCCAAAACCCGAATTGCCTTAGCCACGACCCGTAGTCCTTTAGCTTCGACGCACAAACTTTAGTCACGCCGAAGTCAGCGAAACAGATCAAAAGTTTTCTTAATATTTGGAAGTCAACAGATGTTAAAAGAATTTATTCTCTACAAAGGTTTATGTTGCAAAGCCTACTTAAGAAATAAACAGTGTTGGTCGTACGCTGCACCACATGTTGATTGGAGCAGGTTTAAATGATGTGCCCGTATCGTCAAACCATTTAGCACATCTCTTACAGCTTCAGTGTTTCCGTATAACATGCGGTAATCCTGTGAGTAAAAATCTCAAATGTAACACAAACGGTACACTGTTTTGCATTCAGAAGCCCTGAAATAAATCAAAAAGCGATACCACAAAAAAGTAAAAACCATTCCGTATCTCCACTTAAAGTGAATTCTGTTCCTAAAATGTGGATACATTATCAGGCCGAGGATAACCAACACTGATCACCAAAAACCTTTAGCAAACGGTTTCCCAACAAGCTACAGACAAACCCGTATTTTTTGAACCTCAACCGTGGTAATTTTGGCAAACGTTACCGCCTTATTAAACTGATGATAATTATGGTGGTGTACTTTTGTGAACGGTGTTTATTGTCCTCGGCATGTTTATGTATCCACGTATGTATCCTCGTGCGCCAGAGGCTTGTCACTACTTGTAAGGGACTATCTCTAGGTGTAGTTTTATCATCTTTTGTCCCAACAACTATCCTCTCCCTGTATGTTTTTCCAACTTACAATATCCTATAAATACATTATTAGATTCTATCACGCGGATCAACCTGCGATTTTTGATACCACCAATTAGGTTCGGATGAGATGAAACTAAACATCACAGCATTGTCATACTAAAATTTTGTAAAATGTTCTGTTCCGTTTTTCATGTTTGATTTCGTTTGACTGATACTCCAACCCTGAGTCCCTTTAACCAGTCTCATTTCGGGTATCAAACAATTTCTGAGTTCCGGCTGGTCACATGTCCGGAATCCCTTGACATCAAAAGTCTAAACGCACTATCGAACTAGTCCCGTGATCCAAACCTGTTTGAGTATCCTTTGGAACCCTCAGTCATCGATCCCGTATCCATTACCAGAACACCACCATAGAGAGCGGTCTACGATGGTCTTCCCGTGTGTTCGCCTGTGTTGGTGGATTGCATCGCTTATCCTTCCGGAGATACGACAATTCAGAGTATACAACTATGTTCTTTTGTTTATCAGTGCAGTTTTCCTATTATACTTTATTGTTAACCCCTTATTTTCCCTGGTCTACTAAAAAGGATTTCATTACTGACCGCCGCGGTTTGTTAATCATTAGCCGTGTTTCTCTTATTCCCGTAAACACTCTGATCACAAATTGTGTGATTTCCATATCACTCCGTGTGAGCATTTCCCCCATAAACGAGTTAACGACCCTAGTTATCCGCTCAAACCTAGCTGTTTGCCGTTCCCAATCAACAGCTAGACCTAATTAACGCCGCTTATCCTCTCGCATAGACATTTATGGTGATTCATTTTTTGGTTCTTATTATAACTAGAAGAAGATTCTAAACAAACTACTTTTGACTCGAAATAGACGACCTTATGTTTACGATTTTTTTGGTTTTTATCCCACGGTAATGTTGAACATTTTTTTATTGCAATGTAGACATGGTTGCTTACAAAACAGTAAGATTGTTTTAAAGGTTCATGTGAAGAAATTGTGATATGGTTCGCTTATCACTGTGTATATATAACACGTAGTCAATTACATAAATTTGGCAGATGTGCCACAACATATGAAGAAAGAAATGTGAAAACGGTTTAAATGTAAATCAACGAATAAGAGTCTCGCAACAGGTGCGCCATTGACGTCGGTCACCAGCCATGTCTGCGAGTGTATCAAGCCATAGATGTTCTCTGTCCCCATCCTGGGAGTCTAGAGCGTCCTACCACTGCCAGTTCTGAGGTTATCGCCTTCACTGTTCGAGCCCAGATTGTTCGCTGTCCACCTTGTCGCCGCTTCCAGTCAGTGTCTGCTTGCGCAAACATAACACGATGGGGCAATCATTCAGCCGGCATCCGCAACGCATGTCCTAGCCATCGAAGTCTCTGGGTCGAAATAGCGGCACTTAGAGGACGACTGAGATTGTCTGCGGTGAAGACTCTTCAGCGAACCTCGTCATTGGTGATTCGCTGTTGTCAACGTATTCTGGCGTTGCAAAGAAGGCAACGGTGGTCAAAGACACTTCTTCTGCGTGAAGGAACCAACCCTCATAGCCGTAGAGTAAGACAGTGCATTGTAAACGCGGCCTTTCAAGGAGAGATAGAACGCGTGGTGCCACAAGCGAAATCCACTCGAGCCTTGCGGATACGCGCTGATATTTCTTCCATCAGTCCTCTTGAGGTGAAACAACTCCTGAGATAAGTAAAGTGAAAGAGGATTTCCAACTGGTCATTCAAGGGCGTGAGGACAGGTGTAACCTCATTTCGATGGAGAAAATATCATACCAAACTGCGTGACGTACAATGCAAATAATGGAGAGTCGATTTCATTTCGTAACGTCAAAAATTATTTCTATACGAAAATTCAGGATCAAATTTTCGGTACTGTTTTCAGGCCCGGTTCACGACTAACAGTGTGTGGTCGGGCTCGAGACAAACACCTGGCTCGTGATTCTACTGGTCGTTGGGGTACTGCTGCTGGTGGTAAGTGCACATTTATTGGTGGTTGATCATGATCCTGTCACTATATATATATATATATATCGTTTAATTATGTAAACTTTACTGATACCGTCTTCAAAAAAAGTGGAATAAGTTCTACTCATATGTAACTCTTGTCGATTGTTAGTGACGAATGCGCGATGATACCTGTGTGTCATATTCGATGTTCATTCTCTCCTTAATGTGTCTATTCATTTTTCGATTAGAACTGTAGTTTTTGGTGAGTTTTAACCAAAGTCGGATTGACATTGGCTAGCAGCACCGAAAGCAATTATAATCGAACACCAAAATCTAATTTTATTTTTGATCGAATAAAGCTTTCTTATAAAGACATTTATGTCTCAGAAGGACTTCTCGGTCAAAATAAGTGACTGGCTAAGGTTATTTACCTTTGCATTTGGTTTGTCTCTTTCCCCACGGGTGATTACACTATCAGTTTAGTTTTGCCGATTGACTTGAAGATTACATAAATGTCATTCCCGCCACCGATTGTAGTGTTCTCCAGTATTTTCCTCGGTCCAATAGAGAAAGAGTTTATTCTCTTTTTCCGATCTCTCAATTCTAAACCGCGGTTACCCAAAACTTTGCGCTGAACCTCAGCATTGCTCGCCCAGCTCGTGCAATGCTGCGTAGACAGCGGTGTTCAAACCCCAACAGTCTATCTTTATCCTGTTTTCTTCATGACTCAGTTTCTGCGCTCTACAGCAGAACTGGTCGAATTACCGCAGAAGACATCCGACCTTTCACAGACAGCTAGATGTCGTGACGGCATCATCAGTATCTGAAGTTGGTTAATGTCAATGGAGCCTTCCGTATGCGAGCTGACACTTCATTTGTGATGCGTCCACCGAGTGAGATATAGCTGCCCAAATAAGAAAATTTGTCTACTTGCTCTATAACTTCTCCATTGGTGGTGAGGTTGGGTTCCAGACCAACCCAGTCTTGTAGCAACATTTCGCACTTCGAAGGTGCAAAACGCATGCCGAACATGGCAACGCCAGCAACCGAACTTTCCAGAAACGCTTGCAACTTACGTGGATCTTCACTCAGCAGTACAATATCATCTGCATACTATGATCCAGACAGTCTACCGCCCGGGAGCAACGCGATACCAGTATCCTCATACGAAAACAGGGCTGTTTTAATAATTAAATACATAAAAAAGTTAAATAGAAAAGGAGAGAGAGGGGGAAACTCTGACTTACAGCGCTTTCTGTGTTGAACTGGAGCGAAAAATTGCTTTAAGGTCGAACTCAGCTCTAGCTATTAGTATAAAGGGATCGTATTGAAGTAAACCTCTCACACACACATTTTAGGAATAGGAAGTGTCACTTTGGAGCTTCAGAGTTTTAAAATGGTGTTGACTAAACTAATTCCTCCGTGGTTTTCACCAAAGCCTCTGTTCCGTTTCTTGTAAATCGGTATGGTGACCGATTCACACTATTCCGCTGGAACCTGTTCCCTCTCCCATAGCGAACCCAGGATTTGCGTCAACTCCAAGACCAACGCTAAACCTCCATTCTTAAAAGCCGATGGGAACAACCCATCTGGACCGGAGGCCTTACACCCTTCCCTTGCACTTCCCGAAATGCTCCCATACGACCAAGCGTCTCAAATAACCTCTACCGAGGGAGCCTTTCTCACTGCCTTCTTGTGGCGGAGGTGTTTTCCCACCAAAGTGAGAGGACGAAGAGCCGATATCCGGGGGCTATAACCGGGTTGGTGGGCCACTGGTAATTCACCTAGGGGAGTTGGTCAAAAACCCTGATTCCAAACCAAACAACAGGAGGTGTACGAACCACACACACCCTCTCGGTTGTGACAGTAGTCATCAGCTCGTTTGGGCACCTTGGTCGTTTGACCCCGTCCGAAGGGCGTATGATCAGATGAACTGGACACCGACCCCCAGTGGTTTGCGGTTTTCACACACCGTTTCGCTGCCTTACAGGTCAGGCTTTGGCTAGCCGAAGGCTCTGGTTGGGGATTCCTCAAGAAAATTCACCTGCTTTGGCCTGGGCAACCTGGCCAATAATTACACGTTTTTCATGAAAATTGTACCATAATTCGTTTGGCACACGGCTCGGCGTCAGACGATTTT